TTTTTGTAACCCCACGTTATACAGAGCACACAGCGGCTGGATGACAGACTCATGCTCAAAAGAGCAGATTGGAGAGGGGTACCACTGGGCCCCAACTCGAAACACCTGTGCTACAAGGCCATCAACCCCCTCAGTACTGACCAAGCACTGCATAGATTTCTAGATTATTGTCATTATAAAATAGCCACCCATCTTTTTCTCTTTTGAGTTCAATACTTTGTCATAGAATTTTATAACTGAAAGGATCCACGCTGTTCATCTAGTGGCAGCCTTTTTCACTTCCAAGATGAGAGAATGCCTCGGAGTGGTTAATGACTCTGACATCTCACAGTCTACTGGCTGGGGATGCTCTGCTTATTCCTAAGGCACCTGTGGGAACAGAGAAGGTCAGGCTGTGGTGGGCCCTGGGGGCCCCGATGGCTCCCACAGACTCCTGTGCAGTGACTTCCTGGCACCTGTCAGGCGTGGCTACTGTGAGGTCCTTGGAGAACAATGTGCTGCCCACATTGAATTAGACTAAGTCCTACTTACGAAGTCTTCTCCTAAAACTGATTTCTTGCATAAAATCTTTAGAGAAGCAAACTAAAGCCAAATTATGTCTTTTACACTATTTCCCTTAGTATTTTCATTTGATTAAAAAGTACACATTTTTAATTAAGTTTTTGGGGTGATAATTGACTGGTTAATAAAATCATATAGGTTTCAAGTGTACGATTCAATAGTACGTCACATGTATGTTGTATTGTGTGTTCACCACTCAAAGTTAAATTTCCTTTTGTCGCCATATATTTACCTTTACCATCTCTGTCCCCGCCTCCCTATGGTAACTACTAATAAATACACATTTTTTTAAAAGTCAAATATCACTATAGTTCTTATAATGAAAGCATTAGTCAACTCTTCCCCAGTCCTGAGTTCCAGCCCAGCTAATTCTTTTAACTATTTCTTCTGATATTCAGCTGCTTATATCTAAATAATGTTTATATTGCTATTTCTTGATATATCAATTCCAGAAATAACTTATAAAGAGGGCAAAATGCTACTACTTCCTTCAAGAGTCACTAAGATGAAATGTGCTAAAAGTACTTGTGCTGTATATAATTGCAACTATGATGATAATGATAAGGATTTTAAGATCTTTTTATTTTGGGTTTCTTGAAATTTCATGGCAATACGCCTCAGCGTAAATGCTGGGGACTCAGCAGTCCCTTCAATACGGAAATACTTCGAGAATAATTTCTCCTCCATTTCAT